CGATGGTGGTGTTGTTGCAGCCTGGGACCGGATAATATTGGTCAGGTAGGACTAGGGAACCAGCCATCCCCAAAACTGACCATTCTTTTCATTGCTTATCGTTTGATGGTGTACGTTGATAAAGGCACCATGAATTCAAAACAAATGATTTGAAGGGATCCTAATATTTAAAACAATGGTGGATCCTCCCCACCCACTATGATCAGCAGTCAGCCTCCTTGTGCTTTGGCCTTTGCTGCCCAGTTGCCCCCTTGGAAGGAAGAGAGGGCCAGCAACTTCACTTGGGCCAAGAAGTGGTGGTTCTGAAGATGTTGGTAGATGTTTGAAGAAAAGAGGTTTAAAATCATGTGGCTGGCTCTTTTTTTTTTTTTTTTTAACAGAGTCTTTTCTAACTGATCCTCACCTGGATCGCGGCCTTTGCCCATTGGGAAGATTTCCGTGTGAGAACATGACAGTTTGCCTGCCTCAGCCCCTACATTGTAATGGAGTGTTTGATTGTAATGATGGAGCTGATGAAGAGAACTGCGGTAACTAAACTCAAGAAATTTCCCTCATTTTTAAGTCTGTTTACTTCACTCCTCAGGTTTCACCCCCAGCTCTTCTAACAGGGTGGACTAGCACCAGTGATGGGTGGATTATATTGCTGTTACTGTGGGCAACGATTAACAAATACCAACTGGTATTTTTCCAAAGGGGACACGTATGTCATGGTCTAAGAGCCCAAACAGGAAGAGCCCTGGAGCTGGAGGAGCCCCGCTGTCTTGTCTGGCCCTCTCTGTTCCACCATGTCACCAAGGAGGAGGGAGGGCCTGGTCTGTCTTCCCGTCTTGCTCCACAAGGCTGGAATTCACTCTGCATTGCCCCTGAACTAACCCATGGCTAGTCAGTCAGCAGACTAGTAGCCACTGAAAGCCCTTGTCTTCAAGAATTTCTTCCACACCTTTTTAAGGCCAACTGAAAACAAATGCCAAAACCCTGAATCTTCCACCCATCAGCTTCGATACAAGACTGTGAGCCAGAGAGGATGGAAGCATGTAGTTTTGTTCACTAGCTGCAGACTACACGTTCTGTACTTCCTGAGTCATTTATTTTTCTAAAATAAAAGTGCCCCAGTGGAAAGTGAGTAGCAGTTTGATGGCTCTTACCTTTGGCTGAGAAACTGGTTTCAGCTGACTGATTTCCCTATCCTGAACTGTAAAGTAAGAATTAAAATCTGCTGCAAATATTTTATCTGCTATAGATTGTGACTCTTGTAAATATGAATCGCTGCCTTACCATGAGATTGCAGTGGTAGCCAGTGGGGGGGTTGAGGGCAGGGGTCTCCGGCAGCCTTGAGGAGGGAGCCCGGGGGCACTGCCCGTAACGGAACGTGCAAATCTGTCTTTCCAGTGAACAACATTGGGTGGCCCAAACTTTTAAATGAAATGCTCGCCGGTAACAGCAGGAAGAGCAGGAAAAAAGAGATGACAGCCAACTGCTGTGAGTAGACTTCTGCAACCGCCCTTTGCTTTCCAAAACACTGAGTTTCTGTTTCATGCAAGCTGCCACCCGCTCGGCCTTTCGGTTTCCCTCCCCTTTGTGAGGAGGCTGCTTCTGACGTGCTTTGCCTCACACAAGCACTGCCCAGAGGAGCGGAAGGAGGATGTAGAACACCAAACAAATTTGGAAGGAAACAACAGGCAATCAGATGACAGACAGACAGACAGACAGATGATACAGAGATGATAGTGCATAAATGCCCTAGACCGACTGTAAACTGAAATCATAAAGGTAAAAATAGTATTACAATTAAAAAAAAAAAACAAATTGTGAGACAGAAAATAAAAATCACAGTAAAACCCAATGATTATAATATTAGTGTGGTATTGCAGTATGGCATATTTTACAAATAGTAAAGCAAAACGTAGCCACCTTAAGAGAAATAAAAGCACAATGATGAGATAATAGCCACTAAAACAAAATGGATCCAGGTGGTCTGGAAATCTAAGTAGACAGGGTGTTTTTACCTGCAGCTGGCTATCTTTAGAGCAATCTAACAAAATGTGGCTTAATGTTTCAGGAACCCCTTCACCACAAGAGCAAAGTAGCCCCAGATTTCCCAAAAACAGCTGTTTGGGAGGACATTAAATCTTGCTAGGGTCGGGGCTCTTCTGAACTTGGGAACCATTGCTTGGCTTAGATATCTAGCCAGCTTGAAAAAAGGTGAGCACCTCTGGGAAAGGGTGAAAACGGAGCACTTCAGTTCCCTGTGCAATATCCTGCTCCAAGATGAAACCAAGTCATCCCTTAAAATCAGAGCCGTCATCCTCGCAGGAGGAAAAGTGTAACTTTCACCCTAAGAGAAGATTCCATTTTGGTCACTCCAGCCTCATGGTGTAAGACCACTTAGGACCACACCATGAGACTAAAAATACAGTCTTTACCAATTTAGATTACACCCTTAGCTGGGCTCCTAACTGAAAATACATTTAGCATAATATGCACGAATAACGTACCTCTAGCACAATAAAAGGACTGCAGAGCTGCTGCTGACCATTGGGGATAACATACTCCATGCGTTTCCTGGTAGCATAAAACGCTCCCCCTAAATAATTAAAGTTTTTAACCTGTTCAGTCATGTGCTTATCAGTTGCCAGGCATGAATTAGGATTTGTATTAAACACTTCAGCTTTTGCGTAATTAATTTCAAGTGCTTCTGTACTACAATATGCCACTAAAGTACATGAAGCTTGTGTTAGACAGTTGGTGTCTGAGAGAGCAGCACAGCATCGTCCCTGCATAGGAGGGTTGCAGTGTGTCTATCCTTCAGTTCTGGGGGTGATAAGCTAGATTATTCGTCTTGCCCACAAGAGGATTAATATGTAGACTGAGCAGTAGTGGTGTCAAGATGCATCCTTGCCTAAACTCCTCTGTCAACAAACATCTCCTTACTGCACCTTGCTTTTAAACTAGAGTTTGCATAAGAGTTTGCATATGAGCAGAAGCAGGCATCGAGTTCTTAAGTGTACCCCATAATTTATGTCTAGATATAAATTCAAAACTAAATCTGAAATCAGTAAAAGCTGCACGTAGTGCAGATCTTGGCCGAAAAGCGTACTTGTTTAGCTAGATGCTGCAAAATAAGAGCATGTTCTAATATCGAACGTCCTGCTTGCTCTTCAGCCAAAGTATTTTCTGACTCGGTCCGCTCTAAGAGCCGACTGTATAAATGTTTAGCATATAATTTGCTTATGATGCTAATGAAGCCTAATCGCTAGCAGGGAAAGGCTGGTGGCCTTTTTCTAAAGACTGGAACCGCAGGACCTAAGCCCCTTTCTCTGGGGTGGGCGCCTTGCCGTCTGTCACGTACCTAAGGAGGCCGGGCAGAGGGCCTCCAGTCCAGACGGCTCCAAAGAAGGCCAGCAGCGATAGAGACATTTCCTGGGACCTTGCCAGGCCCAGGCTGTTTCACAAGATCTGCTACTGAGGAAAGGTAGAAAGTCTCCGGAGGCGAGCTCGGCCCGGTCTTCAGTGGCTTTACAAAGCGGGTTGCCAGCGGCTCCTTCCAGCCTGTCATTCTGACTGCATAAGTTGCAGCCTGGCATTTCCCGCCCCCCCATCCAGGCACTCATCGGACCTGGCGCTGCCCCTGCTGTGCCAGCCAAAGCGATGCACACGCACTCTGCTGCAGCGCTGGTGACGATCGCTTTCTCGGATGAGCGGAGCACCTTCGACTGCCAGCGTTATGAGCCCTGGCAAGCGAAGGCCCTCGAAGCTCTGCTTTTTGGAGCAGACGAGCGTCCTCGGTCAACCTTCTGAACGGGTCTGAGTGGGACAAGGATGGAAAGCAAACTGGGCCTGGGCGCCCCTCGAGTGTTTGGGGCTGCAGAGAGGAGAGGCGCCTGCCCCCTTGTGCAGCTCCCCCGGGCCACGACGGCCCCAGCCGCCCGCCTGCCTGGAGTCACGACGCCTCAGTGCTGGGCCCGGCAGCTGGGCCTCCCGCGGCGGTGGGGCTAGGCCGGCTGCTCTCCGCTGCCGCGGGCAGAGTGTCCTGTCGGGGCCGCAGTGGCCGAAAGCGACCAGCGGCCGCTCCCCCACACAGCCAAGAAGCACCTCGGCCACTCAGCCACCTCCCTCTCTTTCTAGCCCTGGCACGGCACCCAGAGCCATGTGCCTGCTCGGAGACGGCGCTGCGCTCCCAGGCTCGGGGCCTGCTGGCCGTTCCACAGGGCCTCTCTGACGTGACGGA